AAATAACAGTTTTAAGCACTTTTAAGTCTTAGTTCTTTGGATTAGAGAGAGATTTGGATATTGTTACTTCTCTAATCATGAGCCTCCCCACCGTATCATGAGCTTTCCCACAATATTGCAATAAATATCGTACCGTGAGTTTCATACCGTGACGCTATCGTATCGTGAGACTTGGATATCGTTACACCCCTAATGATAGCGTAAAGGTGCATTGTGTAACTTTTCTGATGGAGGTTTTGTAACTCTTCATTATCATTTAAAGTAACTACAGAACATCTTTGTAAAAATACGATTCAATAATAAGAGGTGTTTTAGGCCAACATTGGAAAGTACGTTTCTAGTCCAAAATGAGATATCGACTGAACCGGTACCAGATCTATCAAAATGTTCGATATCGGCGGAAATATCTGATAGCAGTATTTTATCAGGTCCTAATTCCTAATACGGAACTTGGCTCAGAATTTGCTCCTATAACCGGAAGCCGGGATGGGACAAAATCTCATGCTGCAACATCTCATGAGACAAAACTGACCCAAGCTTGTGCACATGTGAGAAAAATGAACTTGTGAGATTATTTTTCACATCTGTTTAGTTTCAGATTTGACAAAAAAGTGTTAGGGTTAAAAATATATTTCATGAGATGGGCCCAGTCAAGCATAAGTAAACAGCAAGGCCAAAAATACATATGTACTCTAGTTTATGAAACTGTTGACCTTTTTTCTGTACCATTTTTGGTTCTAAAGTTACATACGTTTTAAACAGACCATGTATGAAACATGGAACAAAAATTATTTCCCAAATTTCAAAGACCTGCAAATCATGTAAATAAATGGATGTATTTCATCATATCTTGTGTTATTCCATCTTTGAACTGTTGATGAAGGTACATGATTTTATTTTTTTTTTTATGTATTTAAGATGATAAAAATTAGTTTGGAAGGACTGACATATTTTATAGAAATAGTTTCCTTTCATTTTGAAGTAATATTAAAGTATTCGGAAGAAAAAAGCTGACAAATTATGCAAAATCCTGCACCTTCTACTTGTTTGCACAATTTTCCCTCCGTTACTTTTCCCTCCGTTACCATGACCTTTCTTAATAAAAAATCTCATTACTCAAAAAGTAAGAGGTTTTTCAACCTAATCTTGTACCATATGGTAGAAAACTATATGAAGCAAATATTCAAACCAGTTTGTTAAGGATATGTAAGTGAGAACCGCTAGTTATCACTGTTTGTATTTATTGCCCAAAAAGTGCTGCATATTTCATTCCCTCCGTTACCGACATGAGTTTTTTTAAATTTTTTGTCAACAACTTGAAAGAATATCACAGGTTTAACTTTACCCTGTTGGAGTGTTAACTCTTTCCTACATTCTAATACCTTACTTATTTCAATAGTCCCTCTAGTTTCTGAATAAGAGCTATTTGAATGTAAAAAATTTACCCGTTTCCCTCCGTTACCGCTTGACCGGACCCAGATGCTTTAGTTCCAAAAAGCAGCAAAATGAAATAAAGTAAAGCAAATGGGAGCAAAATTGTTAACTGAGCTGCACCATTTCTGTGTCTAGTTTCGCTCTCGTGGACCAAATCTTGTAGAAATTGTGTTCTGAACGCCGTAGCCGACGTCACACTGCTTTAGCCCGCTTCTTTATACAGTCTATGGTTCACCTTATTATTTAGGTTAGATTAGATAACGTTGAGATGGCAGGTACAATGCACTGAGTTTATCTACAGTGTCCACATCCTCTTTCACAAACCAAAGCAATGCTGCAACATCAGCGAGGGAAAGCCACACGTACACCCGGTGAAGGAGGCCAACGCGCATCCGGTGAGACAAAACGTGAGAGAAAACAGCTCTGAAGTACGTAAAAGGCTTGGTTTAGAGGCGCATTGTGTAACTTTTCAGGTTAGGAGTCCATCACCTGCTTGTTTCTAAGGAGACGTCATTGAAATGCCTGGAGTTTTTCACAGTATATTCAATTACAGGTGGTTTTACTGCTCAAAAATACCCAGAAAAACAGTTGTTATGACTGTGAGCGGGTCGCCTCTCCACAGATCTGACTTGTAACTTGGCCTGGTTTGGTTGCCATGGAGATATGGCGAAACATTCCACAAAAAGCTTTAACATTTCCAAGGAGAAAAGCATTTGATGGATGGACCCACCACCAGAAAAGTTACACAATGCCCCTTTATGTAGTAGTTGTAGAGTTGTAATTAAGTTTGCCCTGGTTTAGTCGTCTTAGACCAGACCTAATCCTGGTTTAGTCCTGGCTTAGTCCTGGTTTAGACTTCATTTGTGGTCTGATCTTTTAATAGTCAACTGCAGACGTGGAACAACCCACAAGAGCTGGACTAAACAAGGACTAAACCAGGTCTTAAGCAGGACTAAACCAAGTCTGAACCAGGTCTAAACCAGGACTAAACCAAGTCTGAACCAGGACTAAATCAAGACTAAACCATGCAGCTATAAACAAGGAGCAAACCGGGTGTGAACCAGGACTAAACCAGGACAAAACCAGATCTCAGCTAGGACTAAAACAGGACTAAACCAGGTCTGAACCAGGACTAAACCAAGTCTGAACCAGGACTAAACCAAGTCTGAACCAGGACCAAACCAAGTCTGAACCAGGACTGAACCAAGTCTGAACCAGGAATAAACTAGATCTCAATTAGGACTAAAACAGGACTAAAGCAAGATTGAACCAGGCCTAAACGAGGTCTGAATCAGGACTAACTAGATCTCAACTAAGACTGAACCCGGACTAATGCATTTCTAGGTTTAGACTTAATTTGTGGTTTGATCTTTTAATATCCAACTGCAGATGTGGAAAACCCCACAAAAGCTGGACTAAACAAGGACTAAACCAGGACTAAATCAAGTCTGAACCAGGCCTAAACCAAGTCTGATCCAGGAATAAACCATGCAGGTATAAACAAGGAGCAAACCAGCTGTGAACCAGGACTAAACGGGGACTAAACTAGATTCAACTAGAACCAAAACAGGACTAAAGCAGGACTGGACCAGGACTAAACCAGGTCTGAACAAGGTCTGAACGAGGTCTGAACCAGGACTAAACTGGACCTCAACTAAGACTGAACCCGGACTAATGCATCTCTAGGTTTAGACTTAATTTGTGGTTTAATCTTTTAATAGCCAACTGCTGATGCGGAAAACCACACAAGAGCTCGACTAAACAAGGACTAAACCAGGTCTTAAGCAGGACTAAACCAGGTCGAAACCAAGTCTGAACAAAGACTAAACCAGGACTAAATCAGGACTAAACCATGCAGGTATAAACAAGGAGCAAACCAGGTGTTAACCAGGGCCAAACCAAGACTAAACTAAATCTCAGCTAGGACTAAAACAGGACTAAACCAGGACTAATCAGCAAACCATGTCCAACAACCATAGATACACAACTGAACAGATGCGGTAAACCAGGACTAAACTAGATCTCAACTAGAACTGAAACACGACAGAACCAAGACTAATCCAGGACTGAACCGGAACTAAACTAGGAGTAAACCAACAATGAACCAGGACAAGACTAAGACTAAACCAGGACTGAACTAGATCTGAACTAAAATTATACTAGGACTAAACCAGCCCTAAACCAGGACTAAATTAGATCTGAACTAGGCCTAAACCATGACTAAACGAGGACTAAACCAGGACTGAACCTGGACAAAACTAAGACTAAACTTGTACTAAACTAAGAATAAAGTAGAACTACACCAAGACAAAACTAGGACTGAACAAGGACAAAACTAAGACTAAACTATGACTAAACTAGGACTAAACCAGGACTGAACCAGGACAAAACTAAAACTAAACTACGACTAAACCAGGACTAAACTAGGACTGAACAAGGACTGAACTAGGACTAAAACAGGACTGAACTAGGACTGAACAAGGACTGAACAAGGACTAAACCAGGACTAAATTAGATCTGAACTAGGACTGAACCTAGACAAAACTAAGTCTAAACTTGTACTAAACTAAGAATAAACTAGAACTACACAAAGACAAAACTAGGACTGAACCAAGACTAAACCAGGACTGAACAAGGACAAAACTAAGACTAAACTACGACTAAACCAGGACTAAGCCAAGCCTAAACCAGGACTAAACCAGGACTGAACAAGGACAAAACTAAGACTAAAGCAGGACTAAACTAAAGCTGAACTAGGACTGAACCAGGAGTAAACTAAGACTAAATGTGTACTAAACTAAGAATAAACTAGAACTAAACCAGGACTAAACTAGGACTAAACCAGGTCTGAACCAGGACTAAACCAGGACTCGTACAGATATATTTTTCATGATTTGTTTTTTTTTTTTGTTTTTTTTAATGCTATAATTATTCTGCTTGTCTTGTCTGATTGAGTCACACGCAGCGCGGTTCACATGGGACTGTGCACCTTTGGCAACACTAATTTAAGTAACGAGGTCTACAATACGAAGATAAACTATTAAAAAACATGGCTTTGAATACGATCTCAATGCAAATCCACCTCAAAATACTAAAAACATTAATATTATGTTTAATTTTTACGCTTTTACATATTCATCAGTCGCTTCTCTTGCTCCGTGCACTGTAGGAAGTTCATATCCAGTTAGTTTGGGCTACTTTTGGTTAATTTCTTCAATCAAAAAGGTTTAGTTTATTACTTAAAGCATGCCGAATTAAATCCCGGTCCTTAAAATGTCTAGAAGTATAAATAAGTTGTGTGATAATTTGTTAAAAGTCGAGGTATTACGAAGATGTTTCAGTAAATGTACAATTTCCAAACGGAGTTCGTGTCTCGGAGCGTTTTGAGGGTAAAGACGGAAGGTAATTTAAGTGTTGTCAGTAAAAAGAGATTAAAATGAGTAAATTATTAGAAATATTGAAGTGAAATCAAACTAAAAGCGATTAGTATGATAAGTGTCCCGGAAGCACCTCTGCTCCGTGACCCCACCGATGAACCGCGGCTGTCACACCGAACTCCCTCTCACCTTCGCGGGCTTTGAGCAGCACGGTGTTCGCCACAATGTTCTCCAGCTCCATGGCGCTGATGTCCGGGCTCACCGCAGCAGAAAGCCCGCTCCCTCGTCCCCCTCTCCCGGCTCTCCAGGTCTCCCTCCAGCCCCGTGGGTATCCTCCCGAGGGCTGTCCGTGCACCGTGCAGAGCGTGCGGCCGGTCGGCGGAGGAGGAAACTCGGCTGTGTGCCCGTGAGTCTCTCGGGTCTCGGCTGGTCCCTGGGTCCCTCCCCGGCTGACGGAGCGCTTCCTCCCCGCCTCGCAGCGCCTCTTCCCCGCCCTGACTCTGCCTGAGCGCCGCTGTCAGACCTCCCACTCTCTGACGCAGAAGGGATGTCCTCCACCATTGTCCACATAATGGTAATAACACACAGCCATGTCATGTGTTCTTCTGTTTGTCCGAAATCATTTAAAATCCTCCTTTTGACGTAGGCAGCGTAATTACAGCTTTCAAAAGTCTCTCCGTAACACTAAAGATGTTTTATATAACTGTCTTCTCTGATCTTTTCTTATATCCTCACAAGAAGGAGCAGCCAAGTTAATAAGGTCAGGTTATGTCTACTTTATTATTTCATTTCCTTTGTGGTTTTGTTGATGGAATACAAAAGTAAAAGTGCAATACTTGAATACAATTTGAGGTAGATGTACTTAATACGTAATACTTTCAATTTTCAAAATAAAAAACTGGGACATCTTCATTTTTTTGGTGGTTGGTAAAAATAAAAATGTGAAACAAGTGCGTAATTAAGGAAAATTGTTCTGCAGAGACCATTCCTGGAATTTTCTTTGTGTTTTGATCGTTTTGAACCACATTTTCTGTATTTTACCTACACAAATTACAATTTATATCTCTCTTTACTCTGTCAGATTGGTCAAAAATAAAGACACCTGGGACAGTTTTTGTGTAAAACTGGTACAAATCACCAGATTTTCAAAATAAAAAAAATTGAAACATCCTGTTTTGTTTAGGTTTTTTTTTTTTTTTGTGGTTGGTAATAATAAATTATGAAACAAGTGCGTAATTAACATGTGAGTCAGTATAGCCACATTTTCTTTGTGTTTTGATCATTTTTAAGCAGCTTTTCTGTATTTTGCCTAAACAAATGAAAATTTATGCCTCTGTTTACTGTCGGCAGGTGTCAGTTTGGTCAAAAATAGGGACATCTGGGACATTTCTTATATAAAACTAGGACAAATCACTGGATTTGGATAAATCTAAAGGGACATGTTGTGGTGGAAGGTAACAAAGTACAAAAGTAAAAGTACAATACTAAACTATAACTATACTACTATAAAAAATACAATTTGAGGTATCTGTACTTTACATAAGTCAGTTTTAGAGTGGATACTTTTTAATTTTACAAGGGTGATCAGATTTTCAAAATAAAAAACTGGGATATCTTTGTTTTTTTGGTGATTGGTAATAATGAAATCGTGCAACAAGTGCGTAATTAAGGAAAATTGTTCTGCAGAGACCATTCCTGACATTTTCTTTGTGTTTTGGTCATTTTTAAGCACATTTTCTGTATTTTACTTAAACAAATTACAATTTATACCTCTATTTACTGTGTCAAATTGGTCATAAATAGGGACACCTGGGACATTTCTTATATGAAACTGGGACAAATCACCAAAGTTGCAAAATAAATACTGGGATAAAATAAATAAAATTGTAAAACAAGTGTTTAAATAAGAAAAATTGTTATGCAGAAACCATTCCTGACTAAAATGAGAGCCGTTATAGTCATTTCTTGTGTGTTTTGGTCATTTTTAAGCAGCTTTTCTGCATTTTACCTAAACAAAGTACAACTAATACCTCTTTTTACTGTTGACAGGTGTCAAATTGGTCAAAAATAGGGACACTTGCAACTTTTTTTTACTAGGGTAACCAGATTTCCAAAGTAAAAAACAGGTACATCCCCATTTTTTTGGTGGTTGGTAATAATACATTTTTTAAACGAGTGTGTAATTAACATGTGAGTCAGAATAGTCACATTTTCTTTGTGTTTTGGTCATTTTTAAGCACATTTTCTATATTTTACTTAAACAAATTACAATTTAAACATCTATTTACTGTGTCAAATTGGTCAAAAACAGTGACACCTGGGAAAATTTTTGTATAAAACTGGGACAAATCACTTGTTTTGGATAAATCTGCTGGGACAAGGGGACACAGGGCTCAAAACTGGGACTGTCCCGGGTAAACAGGGACGTCTGATCTTCTTTTCTTCTTGTAAAGAGGAGTAGCCAAGTTAATAAGGTCAGGTTATGTCTACTTTATTATTTAATTTCCATTGGGGATTTGTTGACTTACATGTTGCGGTGGGAGGTTACAAAGTACAAAAGTAAAAGTGCAATACTTAAATACAATTTGAGGTAGCTGTACTTTACTTAAGCACATTTTACAGTGGATCCGAAATTTTCAAAGTAAAAAACTGGGACATTCTCGTTTTTTTGGTGGTTGGTAATAGTAAAATTGCGAAACGAGTGCGTAATTAAGGAAAGTTGTTATGCAGACACCATTTATGACTAACATGTGAGTCAGTATAGTCACTTTTTTGTGTGTTTTGGTCATTTTTAAGCAGCTTTTCTGTATTTTAAGTTATGCCTTTGTTTACTGTCGGCAGACGTCAAATTGGTCAAAAATAGAGACACCTGGGACATTTCTTGTATAAAACTGGGACAAATCACTGGTGTTGGGTAAATCTGCTGGGACAGGGGACACAGGGCTCAAAACTGGGACTGTCCCGGGTTATGTAAGTCAATTTCATAGTGGGTACTTTTTACTTTTACTGCGCTACATTTGAGAGCAGGTTTCTGTACTTTCTACTCCACTACATTTTTGATCTGGACTGAAAAGTAAAAAGTACTTTTCTTCATGGTTCGAGAGCTGCAGAAATGGCTGAGACTTATTTTTAACTCATTTAATTTGAGTTAACGTAGGGTGATGTTCCTATTTACCAGATGTTCCTATTTACCCGGGACAGTCCCAGTTTTGAGTCCTGTGTCACCTGTCCCTGCAGATTTATCCAAAACAAGTGATTTGTCCCAGTTTTCAAGAAATGTCCCAGGTGCAGTGTTGAGGAGTAACAGATTACATGTACCGGAGTTATGTAATCAGAGTACAAATTATGAGTAACTGTATTCAGTTACAGTTACTGTTTCCATGAGTGGTAATTGGATTACAGTTACTTTGTTGAAATAAATGGATTACACAGAGGTATTTTTCTGTTTTCACATTTTGGGCTAAACCAGGACTAAAACCAAGACTAAGTAAGAGTAAGAGGTAAAAGTATTTTGCAGTGAGTTTTAGAGAAATTAAAAGATGAAATGTAGTGGTGTTTTGTTTAATGGATTTTAAGTGACTCTATACATTTTTGTAGCAGTTTTGTGTTTTTGTGTATTTGGTTTACTCAAAGTTGGGACGTTAACTCATATGAAATGTGTTAAAAATAAGTCTCATCCTTTTCAACAGGTCTCAAACCTTTTTACTTTTCAGTCCAGATCTAAAATGTAGTGGAGTAGAAAGTACAGATACCTGCTCTCAAATGTAGTGAAGTAAAAGTAAAAAGTATCCACCCTAAAACGCACTTCATTACCTTCCATCGCTGTGTGTGGTTCTGTCAGACCTTCCAAGTAACTCTGGAACAGTCTGTAATAAAGTTTCAGTGGTGATTATATATTCTCGAATAAATATAATTTGTAGTAATGATGATTTCGTAACATAAACAGCCCCCTCTTTAGCGTCACTGCTTTTCTGTATCCACTGTGAAAACAAATCTTCAGAGTAACGATTGGCTTTATAAATCCAGAAATTTGATTTTAACTGGCAGGAACCAACACAGAGCTGTAACACAGATCACTTTTTAAAGGTGCATTGTGTAACTTTTCTAGTGGAGGGTCCATCAAACGTTTTTCTTCATGGAGATGTTTTTACTTTGTCTAGAACAGGGGTGGGCAATTTTTTTTTCCCATGGGCCACATGAGGAACAGGAAATATTGTGGAGGGCCAAAATGCTTAACTCACTTCTGCATAATATAAATTGCATTTCTTTATAAAAAAAAAAAAAAAGCAGTAAATATCATTGTTTTGATGAGCTGGTAAGACTGGAAAGAGTTTACGTTATGACTAAGCAATGAAAAAGTGAGGTTGCCATATAAAAAAATGGTCCATGCATGAGGTAAATTATAAAATATAACCAGTGTTGAGAAGGTTACTTTTAAAATGTATTCCCCTACAGATTACAGATTACATACCCCAAAATGTAGTTTGTAAAGTAATCCATTAAATTACTTAAAGTTGGTAATGTAATCTGAATACTTTGGATTACTTGATTTGCTGTAGAGAAGCAAAGACTCAGATATCTTCACATAAGAAGTTTTTTCTGCTAAAAGAAAATAAAAAGCCCAGACTTCACTGAACTGTATTAAAAATATTATTGATGGAAGAGGAGACACGTTCCACACAGCATGGTTTCATCCTGTTAAATCCTGTTTTAGTCCTGGTTTAGTCCTGGTTTAGATCTAGTTTAGACCTGGTTTTAGTCCTGGTTTAGATCTAGTTTAGACCTGGTTTTAGTCCTGGTTTAGATCTAGTTTAGACCTGGTTTAGATCTAGTTTAGACCTGGTTTTAGTCCTGGTTTAGATCTAGTTTAGACCTGGTTTAGATCTAGTTTAGACCTGGTTTTAGTCCTGGTTTAGATCTAGTTTAGACCTGGTTTTAGTCCTGGTTTAGATCTAGTTTAGACCTGGTTTAGATCTAGTTTAGACCTGGTTTTAGTCTGGTTTAGTCCTGGTTTAGACCTGGTTTTAGTCCTGGTTTAGATCTAGTTTAGACCTGGTTTTAGTCCTGGTTTAGATCTAGTTTAGACCTGGTTTAGATCTAGTTTAGACCTGGTTTTAGTCCTGGTTTAGTCCTGGTTTAGACCTGGTTTTAGTCCTGGTTTAAATCTAGTTTAGACCTGGTTTTAGTCCTGGTTTAGATCTAGTTTAGACCTGGTTTAGATCTAGTTTAGACCTGGTTTTAGTCCTGGGTTCAGTCCTGTTCAATCCTGAATTAGTCCTGGTTTAGACTTGGTTAAAAAAAAAAAAAAAAAAAATAAAGGGATACAGCCCAAAATGTGAAAACAGCTAAATACTGCCATGTAATCCATTTATTTCAACAAAGTAACTGTAATCCAATTACCACTCACTGAAACAGTAACTGTAACTGAATACAGTTACTCATAATTTGTACTCTGATTACGTAACTCCGGTACATGTAATCTGTTACTCCTCAACA